CAATATAAAGACTTAGTAAAAGTGTGGAGAACATGACATGGTAAACATGCACATGTATGCATGTGCACTTCATTAAATGACCGATATATTTCATATAAGTAGTTTGTATTTTGAGATTGTTTTAGTACTGAGAATATGAAGATATATTGAAAGTGTAGACAATATGACATGGTCTTCATGCACATGCATGTTTGCAATGGGTAAAATGACCAATATACTTGATAATGCCATAATCTTTATATTTTTTGATAAAATGCTTTGAAACTCAGAATATATAAACATATTAAAATTTTGACAAGATGGTATGGTCAACATGCACATGCATGCAAACAATGAGTAAAATTACCAATATACTTCATGTAACTGCAACTTTTTTTTTTTTTAAATAAATGCTTTAATACTCAGAATATAATTAGTGTAAACAAATTGACATGGTTATCATGTACATGCATGCACCGCACACATGCATTGAGTAAAATGACCAATATACTTGATATTATTGCAACTTTTACTTTTTTTAAATGATTTAATACTAAGAATATAATGATATATTAATAGTGTAAACAAATTGACATGGTTATTATGTACATGCATGCATGGCATGGATGCAATGCACAGAATGACTAATATACTTGATAAAGACATAATTTTGTATTTTTTAATGAAATTTTTTGATACTCAGAATTTAAAGATAAATTAATAGTTTAGACAAAAAGACATGATTATCATGCAGGTGCGTGTGCATGCAATGCGTTAAATGACTTATATACTTGATATCACTGTAACTTATATATAATTTTTTGAAATCTTTTGATACTGAAATATAAGATATTTTATTAGTGTAGACAAGATACATGGTTTCATGCATGCACTTGTGCATGTGTAATGCGTAAAATGACCAATACACTTGGTATAGCCATAATTTTTATACTTTTTTGAAAAATGCTTTGATACTCAGAATATAAAAAAAAAATAAGTAGTGTTGACAAAATAACATGGTATGCATGCACATGGGTGCACATGCAGTGAGTGTCACAGAATCAATTCCTAATTTTATAGAAACGGAGACCTAATTGTGTCAAATTAATTAATTTGCGTGAAGAAAACACTACAGTTTAATTGTTTTACTCCTTTCCTATGATATCACGGGTTCTATCGTATTGCGCTAATATATAAGTAATATATAGCATACCAACTGCAATTCTGGCATTTGAACTTCTGATCAGTATATTATTCTCAAACAGATATTAAGAAAAAAAAAAACTGACACAAAAGCATATAAAAACTACTATTTTTACAGATCATGCAGAGCATTAAAAGAACTTTTGAACACCTAGAAAATACCGAACTTTTCATTTTGGGTGCTTTGCACAAAATTAAAAAAGGAAAGATGGATGAAGGAGAAAAGGACTTAGAAGCCATAGCAAGAAAATGTAAAGCCGCCGTTAAATCTCTAGAGTGCAAATTTGACAATGTTTTGAAAGAAAATGAAAATCTTAAGAAAGACCTGGAAGCTTTTAAAAAGCAATCATCAGAAATGGAAATGGAGAAAGAAAAACTGAAAGAGGAGTTGAACCAATCACAGGCCATTGTGTCTTCTGTATTTCATTCTGACAGTGATGAACATTCTGATGAGGGTTTGTCAGAGAATACAACAGGAAAGGGAGAAGATGAACAGAGGAGTGCACCCTCAACTCCAGAAGTTTTATAAATATAGTTGGAAAAATGAGAATTGAAATAATTCAAAATAAAATTCTTGAGAAATAAAGTTGTTGTAGTATGAATCATTTCCATTCATAAACTAATAAAGAGAACCATACTTCCAAGATTATACTATAAATGAAACATAAATTGGGTACTATAGATTCACAATGGCCTGTGATTGGTTCAACTCCTCTTTCAGTTTTTCTTTCTCCATTTCCATTTCTAATGGTTGCTTTTTTAAAGCTTCAAGGCCTTTCTTCAGATTTTCATTTTCAATCTTATGGAACGCCAAATTAACATATATTTAAATATTTGAACCTATCTTCAAATAAATTGAAGATAGGTACAATAGAATTAAAGATAGGTACAATTGAATTAAAAATAGGTGTAAATAATTATACATATCTCTAAATAATTAAACCTAGGTTCAAATAAATTACACCTATCTTTAATGGAATTACACCTATCTTTAATTCAATTAAAGAAAGGTTCAATTGAATTATACCTATCTTTAATTCATTTGAAGATAAGTACAATTCATTTAAAGATAGGTACAATTGATTTAAAGATAGGTACAATTGATTTGAAGATAGGTACAATTGATTTGAAGATACATTGTAGGTATAATTGATTCGAAGATGGGTACAATTGAAACATATCCACAAAGGATTTGAAGATTCTATTAGTTGCATAGTTTTGTAGTGACGGGGTATGGGATGATACCTGGTTAGTAAATTTCATACCTAGCGAGGCGAAGCCGAGCCAGGTATGAAATTTACTAACCAGGTATCATCCCGTACCCTGTCACTACAAAACTATGTAACGAATTTACCCCACCTATAAAACATTTATATATTGTCTATGGTTTGTAAAATTGTTTTCCTAACTATATATATATTTCATCATCACTCATGCAATGCCTATTATGACGTCATGTTGAGTTACGTAATGTTGTTTTGCGAGTGTTTCGTGCTGCAATAACGTACTGACAGTTTTGAAGACTTTCAGTAAAGGGAGAAAAAGGTTCAATCTCGTTACTTACATTAGTTAACTGTTTAATTGTCAAAAGACACTTGGCAAACCTCTTGAACTCGAGTTATTCGAACGTTACAAAAGAACGATAACTCCGTATCAACCATGCATTGATTTTCAAGCGACTAGGTATAAGTAATACACCCCCTTCATGTGACAGACTTCAACCAATCGTAAGCCAGGATTTCATCGAAAAATCAACAGAGGTGGGGTAAGATGAAATCCCATGTAGTAAGAACATACAAATCATATTTCCCATATGACCTCCTAAATGCTAATTGTGACGTCATGAACTTGTGCATTTTCCATATTTTTAGCTCACCTGAGCCAAAGGCTCAAGTGAGCTTTTCTGATCAAAATTTGTCCGTTGTCGTTGTTGTTGTCATTGGTGTTGGCGTTGTTGTCGTAAACTTTTCACATTTTCATCTTCTTCTCCAGATCTACTGGGCCAATTTCAACCAAACTTGCCACAAAGTATCCTTGGGTGAAGAAGATTCAAGTTTGTTCAAAAAAGGGCCACGCCCTCTTTAAAGGGGAGATAATAAAGAATTAGTGAAAAATTAATAGCATCTTTTAAAAATCTTCTTCTCAAGAACCACAGGGCCAGGAAAGAAAAAACTCATGTGGAAGCATCCTCAGGTAGTGTAGATTCAAGTTTGTTTAAATCATGACCCCCGGGGGTAGAGCGGGGCCACAATAGAGGATCAAAGTTTTACATAGAAATATATAGGAAAAATCTTTAAAAATCTTCCTCTCAAGAACAGCAAAGCCCTGATGAGTCATATTTATATGGAAGCATCCTCAGGTAGTGTAGATTCAAGTTTGTTCAAATCATGACCCTGGGGGGTAGAGCGGGGCCACAATAGAGGATCAAAGTTTTACATAGAAATATATAGAAAAAATCTTTAAAAATCTTCTTCTCAAGAACAGCAAAGCCATGATTAGTCATATTTATATGAAAGCATCCTCAGGTAGAGTAGATTCAAGTTTGTTCAAATCATGACCCCCGGGGGTAGGGCGGGGCCACAATAGAGGATTAAACGTTACATAGAAATATATAGGAAAAACATTTAAAAATCTTCTTCTCAAGAACAGCAAAGCCCTGATGAGTCATATTTATATGGAAGCATCCTCAGGTAGTGTAGATTCAAGTTTGTTTAAATCATGACCCCCGGGGGTAGGGCGGGGCCACAATAGAGGATCAAAGTTTTACATAGAAATATATAGAAAAAAACTTTAAAAATCTTCTTCTCAAGAACAGCAAAGCCCTGATGAGTCATATTTATATGGAATTATCATCAGGTAGTGTAGATTCAATTTTGTTCAAATCATGACCCCTGGGGTGTAGGGAGGGGCCACAATAGAGGATCAAAGTTTTACAAAGAAATACATAGGAAAAACCTTTAAAAATCTTCTTCTCAAGAACAGCAAAGCCCTGATGAGTCATATTTATATGGAAGCATCCTCAGGTAGTGTAGATTCAAGTTTGTTCAAATCATGACCCCTGGGATAGGGAGGAGCCACAATGGGGGATCAAATTTTTACAAAGGAATATATGGGAAAATTGTTTAAAATTCTTCTCAAGTACAACAAAGCCATTTGTTATATTGACATGAAACCCCCCCAACCCCCCACCCACCCCCCCCGGTAATCTTTTCAATACTGAACTGATTTGTACTTTTGCCTACCAAATGTGCTCAGGTGAGCGATGTGGCCCATATAATGAAAATTCTTGAAACACCCTGTCTCTTCCTCTCAACAAAGAAAAGGTTAAAAAGTAATGAATAAAACAAGAAATGAAAAAGAAAATATAGCACTACAACTTAGCAACTAAATCCTTTTTTTTTTTTTTTTTACAGTTATGCATTTTGAATCTGATTTAGAAAACTGATCTGTCTCTTACATTACTACAATATACCAGACTGACTAGATGAGGCTTTTGCAGTAGTTTGGATTCATTTTAAAGAAATCATGTCTTTTGAGTTTACTGTTAATTGCTTTATTTATTACATTATTTAGGTTTATAATAAATTTGTTAAATGTTTGAACAGGTGGTTCCAGTTGTCCTTTGAGAAAGAATGTACAGTAGGAATGCTTATTCATGTTATGATTGTGGGAAACAGTATAAGACTAAACGTGGATTAGAGCAGCATACATGCAATAAATGCTCAGATTGTAACAAAATTTTCTCATCAAAACAGCGTTTAAAGACTCATGTATGCGTTAAGATGCCAACTCATAATTTCTATTCTTCAAAATCTGAGATGTCGGGAAGAGATTGCATTATTGAATCTGAGACAACTGAAATATTTTACTTTCATCCTGTTAATAAGGATTGGCAAAGCAGGATAAGTTCTTTATTATCTATGGGACATTTTGTAGGATCTTTGCCTACAACAACCAACATGCATGTCCGACTTGGTATACCAAGTACTATTCAAAAAGTAGTTGGAGATGGTAACTGCTTCTTTAGGTGCATCTCCTATACTGTCAGTGGCAGTCAGCAGTTTCATTCAGTTGTACGAGAGAGAGTAATAAATCACATGAGGGAGATGGATGATAAGTTAACGTCAGTTTTACCAATGATAGAGAGTGTTGCCAACTACATTAGACGAACGCGGATCAATGAATGTACTTTCTGGGCTACAGAAGTTGAAATAATAACCGCTGCACATTTACTTAAGACAGACATCTTCATTTACAGCTCTGACCATGGGTGGCAGAAATACAGTGGAAAACTAGTAGATCCATTATTACAAACAGAGGAATTTGCAATATATCTAAAGCACACTAATGGTAACCATTATGATGTGGTCACCAACACAGTACAAGTAACAGAGGTAAATTCAGTCTTCTAAAACTATACAGTTACTGGCATTTTTATACTATAAATAAATAAACAATCATGCATATCTATGATATATGTTGTATAACTAAATAAGTATTTTTTTCAAATTCAGAACACTGTTGTTGAACAAAAGGGAAAGCTGCTGTCAGTCAATGATCTTGTTCAACAATACTATGCTGAAACAAAGAGACGACAACAAAACAGAACCGCACAAGAAATTAAAAAATTGAAAGTGAAACAGAGGCAGCAAAAGTACAGAGAAAGGCTTTCAGCAGAAAAAAAAGAAGCACTCCGCATGATCGACAGAGACAGAAAAAGAAAGCTTCATGAAAATGAGACTATAGTCTGTAAAGAAGCAAATAAAATAAAGAAGAAACAGCAACGTTTAAGTATTGATGATGAGCAAAAAAGAAAAATAAATGAGAAGGATAGATTAAGAAAGAGGGAGAAGCGCTCCAAGTTATCTGAAGAGCAGAAATCAAAAATTTGTGCTTCTGAGAGAAAACGTAAGAATGAAATGCTAAAAAGTGTTACAGAAGAGCAAAAAAAAGAATTCAATAAGAGAGACCGACAGAAAAAGAAAGACAAGCGTTCCAATTTATCTGAAGAGCAGAAATCAAAAATATGTGCTTCTGAGAGAAAACATAAGAAAGAAAAATTACGAAGTCTAACAGAGGAACAAAAAACAGTATTCAATGAAAGAGACCGACAGAAAAAGGAAGACAAGCGTTCCAATTTATCTGAAGAGCAGAAATCAAAAATTTGTGCTTCTGAGAGAAAACGTAAGAAAGAAAAATTACAAAGTCTAACAGAGGAACAAAAAACAGGATTCAATGAAAGAGACCGAAAGAAAAAGGAAGACAAGCGTTCCAATTTATCTGAAGAGCAGAAATCAAAAATTTGTGCTTCTGAGAGAAAACGTAAGAAGGAAAAATTACAAAGTCTAACAGAAGAACAAAAAACAGGATTCAATGAAAGAGACCGACAGAAAAAGGAAGACAAGCGTTCCAATTTATCTGAAGAGCAGAAGACAAAAATTTGTGCTTCTGAGAGAAAACGTAAGAAAGAAAAATTACAAAGTCTTACAGATGAAGAAATTAAAACATTTTATGAAATTGAATCAGTAAAGAAAAAAGAAAAAAGAAGTAATAGAACATCTGTAGAAAAATGCCAAACAAATCTAATAGAAAGCAGAAGAAAACAAGATTTTAGAACATTACAGAATGAAGATCAAGTAATACAAAGATTTTCAAAAGACATCCATCAGTACCCAGAGTATGTTTGCACATGTTGTAGAAGACTGCTTTATAGAAGAAGTGTAACACATGTTGGAACAGAATCTTTCAAAAATTCCTCAGAAGAAGTTGTAAACAGTTGCATAACAGGAAGAATATCTGCCTTGGGATTTCAATGGATTTGTCAGACTTGTGCTAGATATGTTAAAAAAAACCAAATTCCCCCACAGGCTCTTTATAATGATATGGAAGTTTCTGACATACCTGAAGAACTAGCAAAATTAACATCTCTAGAAAGAAGATTAATTTCTCGTCGTTACCCATTCATGAAAATGCTAGCATTACCAAAGGGGAAGCAGAGTGGCATAAAAGGTGCGGTTGTAAATGTCCCTGTGAATGAAGAAAATGTTGTCAATAAATTGCCAAGATTACCAAATGAAGCTGGTGTTATCCCCTTGCGATTAAAGAGGAAAATTGTGTACAAAACACATGAAAAATTTGAGTACATTAGACCAAACTACATCAAAGATGCATTGAATTGGTTGAGAGAAAACAATGAGCTCTACAAAGACATTACTATCTATGAGAACTGGGAAACAAAGTGCTCTGAAAATGATAAGGAGCTTTGGACAGAACTCACCACTAATGATCAAGACAACAATATTCTTAACAGGAGTGAATGTCTTCCGGAAGAAAGTGCTGTCAAAGAAAATTCAGAAGAGGCACATGAAGACATTTATGATGATGATCCAGTATCACAACTTAGAGGTGTAAAATTTGAGAGTTGCATACAACCTTCTGATGCATCCATTGATGTAGATAAAATACTGAACATTGCTCCAGGAGAAGGCAAAATGCCATTATCTATTCTTATGGATGATCTTTTTGAAGAATTAGCTTTTCCAAATCTTTTACCAACTGGAAAATTTGGTTGGAAACATAACAGAAAAATCAAATTAACACCCAAAAAATATTTTCAAGCCAGACTACTGAATGAAAAACAAACATTTGCAGCAGATATTGAATATATTTTTGTGGCTCAAACAATAGTTGAAACTAAACAAATTACAGACAGTATGAGCATTGCTCTCAGGAAATCCTTCAGTGCAACTTCCACCGGAGATAACATTACAGCAGAAATGGTAAAGAACCCTACTATTTTGCACAGGCATTTGCTAAAGGATCATGGATACAGATTTCTGCAACCAGTCAGGGGCTCTCCACCATATTGGCAGAAAGTGCAGTACAAGCTATTAGCTGCTGTAAAACAGTTTGGAATATTTACATGGTTTTTTACTCTCTCTGCAGCCGATCTCAGATGGCATGACACAATACAGGCCATTGCATCACAGCGTGGACTTAATCTATCGGGCATTGATATTGATTCAATGTCTTGGGATCAGAAATGCTCATGGCTTCGTTCAAATCCACTTACTGCTGCTAGACATTTTCAATACAGATTAGATTGTTTATTGAAAGATGCCATTTTAGCAGATTGTCAACCATTAGGAGATGTTCTTCACTTTTTCTATAGGATAGAATTTCAGCAAAGAGGATCCCCTCATGCTCATGGAGTTTTGTGGATCAAAGATGCACCTCATCCTGAAAAGAGTAAAGAAGAAGATGTGAATGCTTTTGTAGAGAAATACATTAAAAGCACCATTCCACCAGAGTATGAAGACCCTCAACTTTACAGACTTGTAACTCAGTTACAGAAGCATACACACTCTGCTGCTTGTAAAAAGACGGGAAGGCAATGTCGTTTTAACTTCCCAAAGCCAGTTTGTGAGACAACTATGATCTGCAAACCTACACCCCAAGAAGAAAATTCCCAAGACCAAGCAAATATTTTGAAGAACTCGAAAGAAATTTTAGCCAATGTGAAAAACTTTGTAATCCAAACAGATGATTTACACTGCGTATCTCTTGAGGACATATTCTTTATGTGTGGGACAAATTCTCGGCAATATCACATTGCATTAAAAGAATCTGTTACAGATACTACCATCTACACTTTAAGAAATCCATCCGACGTCTATATAAATAATTATAACCCAACTTTGTTAAAGACCTGGCAGGCTAATATGGACATACAGTTTGTTTCCAACCCTTATGCTTGCATTCAGTATATAGTGGCATATATCACAAAAGATGAAAGAGAGATGGGAACATTACTGGAAGCTGCTAGCAAGGAAGCTTCACAATTAGGACTAAAACAGCAAATGAAAGCATGTGCAAAGACTTTTACAAATGCCAGATCTGTCAGTGCGCAGGAATCAGTGTACAGGATACTTGGTTTGCCATTGTACAAGTCTGATTTCACAGCTGTTTGGATCCCAACAGGTTTGCCGCATCAGAGGGTCCACCTCCTGAAGCCAATCAGTGTTCTACAAGGACTGGATGATGACAGTGAGAATATATTTACAGCCAGCATAGAAGAGAAATATTCTGCACACCCTGTACAATTGACATCTTGGTGCTTAGCAAACTTTCAAGCATGGTAATTGAACTTTATTGTTATTATTAATATACATGTATTATAAATAGATAAATATTGTGTGTTGAAATTTTTATAAAACATTATAATATTTTGTATTCTTTAGTAATGTCAACGAATGTATACAAAATAGCTGTAAAGATTAACTAGTGTAAAGCAAATATAAAAAATTACATACTTTAATTCCAAAGAAAATCTACAATTCCTTTGTGAAAAAAGAAATCTTCATATATTCAATATAATTTTTACATGTATTGTTATATTCTCAGGTATGACCTATCAACATTCAAAGATAGCAAAGATGATATGCAGCCTGATTTGCTTCAAGAAGAGCAGTTGTTACTTGAGGACAGATGTCCAGAGAATTTTGTGTTGGAAGCACCAAATGAATTCATCATTCGTCTTGCTAATGGCAGTTTCAAAGTAAAGAAACGAAAAAAACAAGCCCTTTTAAGATACCATCAATTCAGCTTAACCAAGGAACCAGAATCTTTCTATCATGGAGAATTATTTCTCTTTATACCATGGAGGAAAGAAGAAGAGCTGCTCGGCAGATTTGATTCATACATGGACAGCTATAACCATCACATAGATCAGATTAAAGAGACCAAAAGAAATCTACAACAATATTCTGAGTTAGTAGATGCAGCATTAATAGAAGTAGCTGAAAATGGTTCGAGAAGTGATGCATGGGATTTGCTCAATCCAGAGATGGAAAAAGATCTAGCAGAGCAAAAAGATGAAGGTCTGCATGATGATCCAGCATTTTCTCATTTGGAACCCTCTGATGTCAACATTCACAATAATGTTTTACCACTATCTGAAGATAGTTTGCCTCATTGCCAGTCATCTTTGGATACATTGCAAGAAATATGGACAGATGAGGAATACAGAAACTTCATATGCAGTTTGAATATAGAACAGCGACTTCTCTTCAACAAAATCTTAGATTGGTGTACATCTTTTAGACAAGGTGTGAAGCAAAAACCATTTCATATTTTTGTGTCAGGAGGAGCTGGAACAGGCAAATCTCATGTAATTCAAGCCATCAGTCAGATGATTAAAAGAACTCTACCAAAAGAAGGTGAAGATCCTACTCTTCCACATTGTTTGCTTTTAGCTCCAACTGGTACAGCAGCTTTTAATATAAATGGTTTGACCCTACATTCAGCTTTACAACTTCAGCTTGGTCAAAGCAAAAATAGCTATATGAAACTGTCTGATGACAAAAGAAATTCTTTACGTCAAAAATTATCTTCACTATGCATTTTGATTGTGGATGAAATATCCATGGTTGGAAGTAATTTACTCCTTCAAGTACACAGACGACTAGATGAACTCTTTCGAAGTGAATATGAATTTGGAGGCATTTCTATTTTAGCATTTGGAGACCTCTACCAACTACCTCCTGTTGGTCAAAGTTTTGTGTTTCAACCTCCATCTGACATTTTAGCATCTCTGACATTACAGCTATGGGACCAGTTCTCAATTTTTGAATTGCATGAAATCATGCGACAAAAAGAAGATTCTGATTTTGCATCTTTACTTAACCGTGTACGTGAGTCAACTCATACAGTAGAGGATATTTCTGTTTTATGTACAAGATGTATAGATGAAAACAGTGAAAACTATCCACATGAAGCTCTTCATGTATTTGCTTTAAATAGAAGAGTAGATGAGCATAACAAAATTATGCTAAACAAACTCAACTCTACTCTAAAATCTATCACAGCGGTAGACCGAATGCCAGATTCATTGAAAGGAAAATCCATTCCAACTGATTCAAAATTTACTGGAGGACTACCAAAAATCATTACCTTAGCCATTGGTGCAAGGGTCATGCTCATTCGCAATGTTTTTGTACAGGATGGATTAGCAAATGGTGCACAAGGGACAGTTATTGGTTTCATTTACAAACAAAATTCCTCACCTCTTGCAATCATGGTTAAATTTGACAATACTTCAATAGGAAGAGAAACACGTATGGCATCAAAATTTGATTTGTCTGAATTTAATCCTTTGGCAACTCCAATTCTTCCAATTGAGGTACAGTTCTCACTGTCTTGCAGCAAAAAGAATTTAAAAGTAACAAGATCCCAATTTCCACTGCGCCTTTCTTGGAGCTGTACCGTTCATAAAGTACAAGGGCAAACTTTGGAAACAGTTGTAGTCTCTTTCCAGGATCAATTTCGTGATGGTCAAGCATATGTAGCTCTAAGCAGGGCTCGCTCCTTAAATGGACTATATATTCTTAATTTTGATGCCAACAAAATTCGCAGTAGTAAACAAGTTTTGAGGCATATGGAAGAGATGAGGCAAAAAAAACAAGTTGAAAATCTTCAGATTTCAGTAACTGAAAAAAACCTTCTCATGGTTTCACACCTGAATGCAAGATCTGCCCGTTTACATTTTGAAGACATAAAGGCAGATCCTACCCTGGAAAGATCTCATGTAATATGCTTGACTGAATCACACATTAGTACTTCCGCAGACTTTCAGATTCCAGGTTATCATTCTATTATACTTCCAGCCTCTACATATCCAAGCAGATGTCATGGAATTGCTGTGTTCTATAAAGAAAACTTGGACATTGAAGGAAAAGAATTGTGTAACACCCAGGAATTCTCATTTCTTCATGTCATCGTATCAAGACAGTACCATTACATATTTATATACAGATTTCCAAAAGAAAGCTTTCAAAAATTCAAGTCCCAATTGTTAGCAAAACTGCCTAAAAATGACACACCAGTGTTACTTATTGGTGACTTTAACATTGATTTTCAAAGTGATACAGGAAGAAATTCGTCTATGCGAGACAGCTTCCAAAAAGACTTGTTCTCACTTGGATTTAAACAAGAAGTTAAAAAACCAACAACAATTTATGGATCTACTTTAGATTTGGCATTTTGCAACGAACTGATGCAGCTAGAGGACATCCTTATTACTCCATCTTATTACTCTGACCATAGTATAGTCACCATTAGTCACAAATGAATAAATACAAATTACAAACTTTTTATCATTTTAATGTCATTATTAACTTTCCAATTCATTTGTGTGAAGACTTATCTAATGATATGTTCTGAGAGATCATCTACAAATTTCCTACACACAGACAAAATGAACTTGAAATATCATGTTGCTGCTTCATATTCAGTGTTAATCAACACTACATTCCATACAACAAAGGAAACAACTATACTAAGAGTACTAAAGGTATTAAATTTATATTTTGAAAAATATTAAAGTTATGCATGAAAAGAAATAATGAAATCATTTCTTATCTAATTCATTCATAAGGGGAATGAAAATTCTCTTTCTGACAAATCGCTAGTAAGTTTTTTACTTGAAGGAGATTATTTCCCCTCAAGCACCCACTATGTTCATTCTAAATATCCTAAATATGCATTATTACTTTAAAAAAACCAATTTAATACATAAATTCTTCTCTGCTAAATGGAAAAAAATTCCATTGTGAATGGAACAGAATATTGGGCCATGACAAGGTACCAATAAATACCTAGGTTTTTTTTTTAAAATATTGCATTACATTTGTAACATCAGGCGGGGCATTCATGTCCTATGGACATATTTCTAGTTTACTAATTATTTAACGTCCCTTCGAGAATTTTTTACTCATGTTAAGAAGCCACCACTTCCCTGTGGAGGGCTGCAAAATTAGACCTGAACTCAGCACTTATGGCCATTTATATTAGCAGTAAGGGATATTTTGTGCAAACACCTACTGCAACAAAGGACCTGCTTTATACGGTTTCATCCAAAGGACCGGTTTTCAGGTCCCACAATGGGATTAAAACCCTTGAAGTAAGGATCAACTCTGGAGCAAAAGCTCTATACTCTATGCCACGTGGCGACTGGTAAATTGATAAACATGCACTAAATATGTTGACTCTACCACAGGCCTCTATGTGATCTCTAAAATTTAGGCACCAACTGGCTTTTTATGAAAAAAAAATTTTAGTCACCAATGCAAATTTTTAGCCGCCAGGTAAAATTTTTCTTAGGCACCAATCTAAAAACTGATATTAGTCAATATTAGAGACATGTCCATTGCTTCTTTTCGGCTCTTTCTAAAAAAAAAATTGAAAATGTTTATAGTTCAGTAATTTGATGATCACCAAGCCAATTTAAAATGGTCGCCAATTTGGCGAATTCTAGAAAAATTTTAGGCACCAATCATAATTTTTAGGTGCTATGGCAACTTAATTAGTCGCCAATTAGACCTATACCATATATCGCATACCCTGTAATTGTTTTCACTATCTGCACATTTTTGATTTTTTTGCCTTTACAAATCAACTTGGTTATAAAGATACATGACTGTATAATTTTTGTAAAACAGCTGGATTTTTTACTTAAATTTCTTTTGGTTTAAAGCTAAGAAAACTTAGATATTATAGCTAAAGGACTGGTTATTAAGGGACAAGCTTAAGTATTTCTGACACATTTATTTTATCCCCTTTAAAATTACCATGGGACTATAGATACAGGTTGGTCATGTGATCAAATCCCATGGAATCCAAAGGGCTTTATGGTAGGTAACAACATATGACTATAGTCCCATAGATGATAAAATATTATACTTTTTCATGTTAAATTTTGCCCATATATAAAGCATTAGAGTATTATAAATTGTGTATAAAACATTAATGTTTTTACTTTGAATTTCAAATGTCAAGCATCACCTGTGTGGCGCAGTGGTTAGAGCATTTGCTCTAGAGTCGAGGAGTAAGGAGTTGATCCTTACGTCGTGGGTTCGAATCCCACTGTAGGACATGGAGACCGGTCCTTCGGATGAGACCATATATATCGAGGTCCAGTGTCGCAGTAGGTGCTGGCACGAAAAAGATCCCTCACTGCTCAATGGCCCTCAGTACCGAGTACAAGTCAAAATTTGCAACTCTCCACCGGCAAGTGGTAGCATTTCCATATGAGTGAAAAATTCTCGAGAGGGACGTTAAACAACAACAACAACAACAAATCAAATGTCAAGCTAGAATAAGAACTACAGCATTGAACTATTGACCCTTTTAGTCATTCATAGTTATAAATGAGTCTCCTTGAATCCTAATATTTCTCAGGAGAAAGCACTGCAATTTTAAATAAGTGTTTATTTTCTAGAAACGTTTGTTTGTGCAGGTGTATCAGATGCATTCCAAAAGTGTTCAGTCACTGAAAATTTAAATACAGTTGAACTTTGGTATCTCAAGCACTGATAACTTGAATACCATGGATATGTCAAAGTTAACTGGAAGTCCGAACCACTTATTTTTTAAGAAATCAACCTCGATATCTTGAATACTCCTATATCTCTAAGTTTTTTTCAGTTCCATCTATTTTAAAATAATGAGGTTTGACTGTGCATGTTTCTTATTTAGCATTTGATGAATTTCATATGAATCACCAACAAGTTTTCACATTTTGATGCAAACTTTTATAGTTCTAAACAACCAACCACTCATTAATCAATTACTACATATAATTTAAATAAAATGAATTAACAAATAGTTAAAAATTATATACATTTTACCAACTCTTTTTATGTATTCAACTACAAGATATTATATACATAATTTAAATAAATTTAAATTGATCAGAAATGTCAAAATGGAAACTTTGAGAAACCTGGCTTCATTTACTGGACAGTACTGAAATTGTAGAAAAGAAGTTCATTCATTTATCAATTTTATGATTTGTTCTAGGAACAGATCAGAAAATATGTTTCAAAAATAGGTACATGTAGTATCTATTAAAATAATTAAAAAATCAAAGTGAAGGAACACTTTAGCATATGTGCTTGCCTGTTCATCTATTTGCAATCATACTAATAAATATACAAAGCTGATGTATCAAGATAATAAATGCTACTATATAAGTGAAGCATTTCAAGTAAATCTTTTGGTTGTAACCATTATAGCATTTTGTCGTGTTAAACAGAAAAAGTAATCTAACTAGTAGTCCATATGCATGTGCAAGTACTTCCAAGTTTCTTTGTAACAACCAGTTTTGTACCCATTTTTGCAGATGAGTAGGGCAGTATACATGGACCATATTCAAAAGCTTTAGAGATATTTATGAAATAATGAAAAAGTTTGGTAAAATAATTATAATTTCATTGCCTCAATTGATATAATTCATGTTTCTTTGGATTGAAAAATCTTTATATAACCTTCAATAAAAGTCCTTAATTATTTCCTATGTATCTTAAAACACGAGATCTGATTGGTTAGCAAGCGGGGTGTAAATTTCCTTACACCCAGCTAAAGCTGGGGTGGGGTGGGTGGGGTTAAATAATGTGACATCACAATGAATAGTTTCTATATCAAATAAACACCATACAACATGATGTCACGATGCATTGAAGCATGTAGTAAATCAATAGTTTAAAATATTAGTGGAATTGGGTTTACAGAGAAATTATTAGGTTATATAGGAAATAAAGATTTGCTATCCAGGTGTAATCAAGGGTGTACAAAGATTTACCTGTTAGCAAATATAACCTATCACTGGGTCGTATTTTGGCTGACTTGCTTCATACCAATTTTTAGGCCTTTGTTTATATGCTAAATTTGACTATCGAATATTCCATCTACTTGATCAATATATAGGGCTCACAGTGGGTGTGGCCGGTCAACAGGGGATGCTTAATCCTCCTTTGCACGTGATCCCACCTCTGGAATTTTAGGGGGTCTGTGTTTATGCAGTGTTCAAAGATTTGTATTGTTTGTAATTTTTATGAAATAGATCACTGTTCATTATCTTCTCTTTCTCATTCCATATCCATACCCCGCAATCATAACTTTGACCTTTTGACTTCAGAATCAAGAGGAATCATCCTCTCCACTGGAGTAGAGACTGATCTAAAAGCCAATTTGAAAGCAACTAAATCATAGACACAAATTTAATTTCTAACGTACACGTACCCTAAATTAAATTAGTGACTATTGTTTGCCCCAAAATAAATACAGGGACCCAGGACTTTATCTTTAAAATAATTAAAAATTCTTTTAAACAATGTATAAGTACTGCACAACAAATGTAAATCACATAACACATAAATATGCATAGACATTTAACACATACAACAGGCTGATTGGGCTATGTGTATGTTTAAGGTGTGCAATAGAACATCTCCTATGACACGATACAATATTTTTCAAGATGGTGTGTATATATCGAATAAATTATGTGACATTTTGTTAGTATATTACTATATAGGTCTCTGGGTATTGCTAAGAGACCCCTAACATAGAATGAAATGCAAGTTGGGACCCATGCATGTAGTTTTCTCGTTTATTTAATTAGACGCATGTAATTTCTTCACTTTAAGAGCATATTTTATGATTAAACAAATGTCATTTCAAACTCTACCAGATATACTGTAATACAGTGTCCTACACTCAGTATGTGTAATGGGTGATAAAAAATACATTATCAATATTGCCATTTATCATGTTTATTTACCAATAATTTCAAAACTTTTAAATTCTGTATTGCATATTTATGAAAAAATCATGACGATACTATCATCAATTACTTGCAATAGGATTAATCAATAAAATAAATGAATTGTGCATTTCCGTCCTCATCACCATCTTTCTTCAGCATCGACTAATGCGAGGTTCGACATGGCAATTATAAATAAATATTTATCTTTTTTTTATTCTGTCTTCAAATGCTGTACAGCTGGTCTGAAAAAAATGTGATGGATTACCAGAGGAAATAAGATCTGATTTATTAGAATTAAATGTTCTGTATTTAAAAAAAAACGGGTTGGCAATTTACGAAACAATAGTGGGTCGGGTTATTTAGCCAACCAAAATGGCACTTTCAGGCTCCGACCGAGGACTGAGGAAGCTTAGGATGACTAATAAGAATGGTTGCGGCGAGTGTTTTGTTGTGGAAGCATTAGAAAAATGTGTAAGAAACATACGGTTAGTCGCCTAAGTTCAAATCTATCAAATTCAAAGTTTTCTACACTTGGACGATACACTGATACACAGTCATTTAGCTGGTACAATCACTAGTTTTAGCTACGTAGCTTGAATTACCTACAAAGCTTTATTTACCTACCTGAAGTAGCTTTATTTAGCTACTAAATCAAACTTATTTCTTTAATTAGCTTTTTTCTCAAGATGTGCAGAAAATCGCACTTTCGTGCAGTGATAATTTTCAAATTTTAGCTCATCTGAAAACAATTCATTATGTTCATGAAAAAATTCTTTTGAAAATGTGCCTTTTTCTGCGCAATTGCAATTAAAGTTATAAAAGTTTTAGGGCTATATACAACGCTCAGTTAATTTGTGACCAAACAGTTACTTCTTGAATGGATTAACAAAGAAGATCAGTTCAGGTAAACTTGATAATTGATTGGTAATTATTCAGCACAATGTGAAGTAATCATACTTATCCATGCCTCACCGCACACAAAGTGGTGTATGGTTACTCAAACAGCAGAAATACTTCTGTATTCCGAATGTCACAGATCCGCGCTTCACGACTCATGGTATTTTACCTTGCGCAGTTATGTCTGTTCCTCGCATGACATATCCACACATTTGACAACCAACAAGCCATGAACATGCATGGTACACATGTATGTATAAAATAAACAATTTAATTCATAGTTTAACTTGCTGTAATCCTTGTAACAACAGTAAAGCAGTGGAGATACCAAACACCAAAACCAAAAAATATAAAACTCATTTTTTGTTTGCACTGCAATAGACTGGAGTCATCTGGAAGAGGAAGTAGTTGTAGATAGAATTTTCTAATCATTAAAATGATTAATTTTCAGACCCGGTTAAAGAGAGGTGTGGTGAGGGCTCATCTGGAGACGCAGTTAGATTATTTAACTAATTTAAAAGTAGTTTGTGGCCCAGAGCTATTAAAGAGTTTTAAGACCGCGTTACAACATCCTGATGACTAAATGCACCCTCCTCCATCACATTAAAACCCAAGAAGATTCTTATAAATTTATACTGGTACATAAACAAATTGATTGAAGAAATGCCCATGTAGAAAACGCATGGTTTTTTTCTCGTCAATGTCGTAGCATTATACTGGTGGATGAAACTTGACATATTAGTATTGATAGAATACTTCCAATTACAATTACTTGTTTTTAATTTTAACCTAAAATCATTAAAGTCATGACTGTATTTCGAATCCTCTGTGTACATGAGAGCAGATGAATAAAATACACATGCTGCACACTTGTTATATTAATTTTACATGTCAGATGTACACTCAATTTTTAGACAGGACCAAACTTTTACTAGTCAGTGTCGATCAGACATGCCTTATAAATGTTAAACCCTGTGTCTGAATGCATAAATATTTTTCACTTGTCTGATTCTGAACAGATTTAAAGAAATTTGTTGAACTTAATGAAGGCTAAATTAGCTATAAAAATAACTGACTTATTTAGATTTGTGTTATCATGAAGATAGAAATATTAATTGCGCTCCTCCTCTCATTAGCAATATTTATCGAGGTATAACTGAGCGTTAAAGATGGAAAATTTATGCTATGCTACAAGTACATATTTTAACTTCAGTATCTTGAATCGTAGGATATCACAAAGTTTTTTCTAGGACCCATTAGGTTCGATGTTTATATTCTACTCTAAAATGCTTAAAAATGAGTTTTTATACTACTAGTATCATTTACATTTTTGAAAAACATTTTTTAATAATTTTTTTTATCATGTTTTTATCACAAATATAGTTTCACTATATATACCATGAAGAATTCACATCACATCAGAAACAGTTAATAACAAATGCCAGAAACAAATACAACAAAACAGAAACCGTTGTAACACCCTCTTGATCATCCTCGTGTGCTTTTATGCTACATATTATAATAGCTCGGGTTCGAGATTTAATGCTGTTGGTTGCTAAGGCAAAGATAAACAAAAAATGGGGCATAGTTCCTGGGCTCGACATTGTATGCTCATCCACTTGTCCAGTATATGTACCAGTAAAATTTTTCATGAACAATTGATAATTACTGACCACTTGTCTGATTTGACAAGGGATATTTTTCTAGGAAGAATTTTTTTAGCTGAGCATGAAAACTTAAAGAATTAAAATTTGTTGTCATTTTTTCATCGGAGATTCAAAATGAAAACATGCCATGCATGCGGTTTGTAAATAGTTAAATGTTGAATGATCTTGCTCGTAATAATGATGGCCCTGGTTGTCAAACTTGATCAGGAACAATGTTACTATGAAACTTGTCTGAAATATCTGATGTTTTTCAGGCATTTGTCACAATTTTAATTTTAATATATAAAGTACCAGGAAGTTGACTACTTAGAACTACAGTAACTTTGAAACGTGTACTTTTACTGAAGGAAATTTGGGTTTTTATTATCTGGCAGGAGAGCTTTAGCAAAAGACAATTTAGGCTACAAAGGATAAGCAAAAGAAGGCAAAGAAAAATTTGAAGTCATATAGTCAGCTATTTCTTGTTGTTACTATTTTTCTTTCATACATGTAATTATATAACATGATTTACATCTACTTTAGGATAGGATGATACAGTTAAGTAATTTGCAATAGATGTGTCCACTAAAAATCTCAAAAACAGACTCAATGAATGTATTATAGACTATTGTAATGTACAATATTTTTTCAAATTGTTAAATACCGGTAGGTCTTTTATGAAATATTTTCATACAAGTAAAAGTTATGTTCAGACAAGTAAATTTCACAATCACTTACTTCGAGGGTAACATGCCAGAATATTTTCCCCAGTTGTGTCACCCAATGTCGAATGCATATCTTGTCATTTAATTATTCAGTTTTATTTATTTCAATATATTAATATCCAAAAACATTATTGCTTACATGTATGTAATTGCTAGTCATGAGGACCCCCTGGAGATAAGCCTATTATGGCAATAGATGGGGCTGAAAAAAAAAAACCCTTTGAGAAATAGATAATAGAGGTTTCAAGAATAGCGGGTAAAGTTCATAAACTCACTGAACTTGAGCACTTAGACATATCCATGGTATTTGAGAAAGAGTTTTAAAATACATAAGTAAAACTGTCATTAACAATAAATTTTATTTCTCCATTTTTTATTTTAGCGCACCTGAGCCAAAGGCTTAAGAGAGGTTTCTGATCAAAATTTGTCTGTTGTCTGTCACTGTTGTTGTTGGAGGCGGCGACATAAACTTTTCACATTTTCATCTTTTTCTCCAGAACCACTTTGCCAATATTAACCAAACTTGCCACAGAGTGTCCTTGGGTAAAGGAAATTCAAGTTTGTTCATATGAAGGGCTACACCCTCTTTCAAGGGGAAATAATTAAGAATTGTTGTAAATTTAATGGCATCTTTAAAAACACTTCTCAAGAATCAGTGGACCAGAAAATGAAATTTCTGTGAAAGCTTCATTACTGTGGGCCAGAAAGTGAAAATTCTCTGAAAGCTTCATTACTTAGTGTACATTCAGGTTTGTTTAAATCATGACCCCCCTCCCCCCCCCCCCAGGGTAGGGTGGGGCCACAATGGACAATCAAATTTTTACATATGAATGAATATACATCATCATGTGTAGTAAAAAAAAAGTAGAACAGCAAGGCCATAGTGACTCGGGTGAGCATTGTTGCCCATGGCCACTTGTTCTTTTTACAGGCATTTTTTACTTTGACAAATTGCACTTTAATAATATAATTATAAGCTTAAATTGGAATAAATATTTTATTAACCATAACATTGTTAATCAAACTTTTGTGAAACTGTGAAATTAACTTGTCAAATGACTAGAAATTTCTTACTGAATCTAGATATGGATATACAGTTCTACAACATTTAAAATTTTACTGTGGTCAGCGCACATAAACAAAAATTTTTGGAGATCAATAACATTTTGTCGAAATCAAAGACAAAACCAAATGCTTGGGTATTTATTTACAAAGTTTGATTTGTTAATTTTTTACCATATGAATAATTTACCCTTTCTTTCCAGTAGACCCTTGTTATGCCATGCTTAGCTTAGAGCCAGGAATAGCAAATCAAAATGAACTTAGTCAGTTGTTGTTCTTTGTAGAAAGAGACAATTTCTTTTCAGGTTTTCTTTTTCGGTTTCTCATTTTAGGCCTACAGTATTTATTTTTTACTCAAATATTAGGAATATTATACTTGTGGGCAATCAATGAATTTAACGAATACTCTTTTTTTAGGTGCTCATGATGCAACTTCCTGGATGGTGTGTAAACTGTTTATCAGCATGTGAAATCCACATGATTGAAGGTATCTTACCTATCAGTAATATCAATTTTCTCTATTAAAAGCTGCATAAGGAATTATTTTATTTCTGGTCTCAAATTTTTGTCCAAGCATCAATCATTTTTTCTTCATCTTTTATCTAGTGAGGGTCATATTAATTGATTAATTTAATCAAGGCTTTATAGTAAAATATAGTGAATTATTTTCTTGTGTATGACCTTTAAAGGGGCATAGACTCAGATTTGAAGTTAATATTTTCTAAAATTTTCGACTAGATCATGACATATGTGTGGCTATAGTATTTCACAGGGAAATATCATAAAAAACTTATTTTACCTGGAAATTATTGAAACTACGAATTTAGGGACGCATTTGATTGACACATCCTTGCACTTTCACAAAGTAAAACTTCATCCTTGATACTTAAAAAAGTAGAAATTTTGTTGTGTTTTAATGAAAAAAATTAAAGATAAAATCCAGAAAATTCACAGTTGAAATGTGAGAAAGCAAAACCAACTCATCAGTATTGTCAGTCCGTGCTCAGTGATGTGTGCAGAGTTTAACAAATTGAACACACCCGATGGAACGTAAACTGTTTTGTGTTCAATTTGTTAAACTCTTCACACATCACTGAGCACGGACTGACAATACTGTTTAGTTGGTTTTGCTTTCTCTCATTTCTACTCTTAATTTTCTGGATTGTATTTTTTTATATTTTTTTTTTATTAATATGTATCAAAAAACCTACTTTTCTTAAGTATTAAGGATGAAGTTTACTTGTGAAAGTGCAAGGATGTGTCAATCAAACGCATCCCGAAATTCATAGTTTCAAAAATTTACAGATAAAATAAGTTTTTTATTATATTTCCGTGTGAAATGCTATAGCCACATATATGTCATGATATAATACAATTTGAGAAAATATTTCAAAATGTCAAATCAGTGTCTATGTCCCTCTAAGAGTAACAGGTAACTTCACTTTTGAAAATAATTTTTCTTATTTCAGGAGAAGTCTCCCTTGTTAAAGATCAGCAACGGCAGATAAACAATGCATGATGCAATCTGCTCACTAAAAAGATTACACCAATACATCCCATGCATGTATTTCTACCTATCACCTATGTAACCTTTGTCATGCTCTTCAGAGAGGTAAGAAAACAAAATAATTATGAAAAAAAAATTTGGTAAAAGTGACACTTAGAGATCACTTTACATGGTGTCTGTCTGTCTGTCATACCCTAGATCCTGAGAACTTTAAGAGGAATGGATTTGATACTTTGCACTTGCATTGCTTGGCACTTTGGCTTTTGTAAAATACCATATACAGTCAAACTCGTTTACATTGAAATTTAAGGGACCTTGAGATTTATTTCAAATTAACCGAATTTCATTATATCTGTGTGCTATGAATTACGTAAAAAATGTAGATACAGTTGAACTTCATTATCTGGAACACTGATATCTTGAATACCATGGATATGTCAAAGTGATTTGCTGTCCCAACCACTTATTCTTTAAGTATTTTACCCTTGATATCTCGAATCCTCAGATATCTCGAAGATTTTTCTCGGTCCCTTCAAGTTAGAGGTAACGAGGCTTGACTGTACAGTAAAAAAAATGTACATGTGAGAATTCATATTTTTTACATAACATTACATACAGTGTTTCAGAAATGTACTTATCTCTATTTTTCAAAAAAGTCCTAAATTTTTTTTACTGTTTTATTTATTTATTTTTTATTTTGATCTGTGTTAGAAAACTATCAAGACTATTTATACACGAAAAAAGTTCGTCCTGAACATTGCCGCATAGATGCAATGATTTGTCAGGTTCGAATCTGTAGAACAGCCCTGTCTCATCAGCATTGAAAACATATGCTTCATATACTTCAATTCAAGTTTATTTTCCATTTACTTAATTACAGTGGATTTATTTACTTCGGCACTTTCTCCACTAGGGCTGTGTCAATTTATTGATTAATCAATACATATCGATATTCAGGAATTTATCGTATCGACGAACTAACTTCCGATACATATTGGGCAGACAGTTTTTCTTATAATTCTGTGAAAAAGTTGGGAATTTCAGTCACCAAAGATAATTTTTAACTGTTTTTAATTAAAACTGGTCAATAATAAAATAAACATTAAGGAGATAGCACATCTTAATTAACTATTGCAAAATTCTACAAATACAACTTATATTTAATGCAACTTAATGCAAAATACAACTATATTTTAACGTATTAGTTTTTGAGTCATTAAAAGTTTGAATTTGAAGTGTTCTTTGTAAAGACAGTGAGACATATGAACTTCCAATTTGGTATTAAAACACCCAGTTTTTATCAAATTTATGCATTAAATGATTTACAAGACCTTTTTGCTAGACTTATTTAAGAATCCAATATATTGCATATTGCTTTATAAAATATCTTATCAAAATATTTTGGTCAATACACAGCCCTATTCTCCACGCACCAATGTACACATGACACCCCTGCATATTTCCATGTCGGTCTTAATGCCGTAATTAGAAAATAAAAATGGCGACTAATATGTTCCGGTGAGAAATGCTCAATTATTATTATTTTATCTATACAACACATAATTAAATTTGTACAGGTACACCAACATCAAATCACCTGTGAAAAATTAACACGTGCTAGACTTTATATATAGTCAGTCACCTGAGTCCACGCGTCGCAATCGGCAACTTCAATGTACCCGTTATCAAAACTGCTATAAGCTTTGTGTTCAGCGGACCCCAAAATCACTTTAAATTAACAGAGTTTTTCAAGTTAACCGATTTCAATCTAAACGAGTATTTATTGCAAAGAAACCGTATCAGCATTTTAGGAGAAACCCAATTCATTTCAAACAAACCGATTTTTCAAACAAAGAGAGTTCAATGCAAGTGAGTTCGTTACATTACAATTCAGTTGACCTTGACCTTTGATTTTATAAAATCACTCTGGCGGTTGATTGAATTATTATTATTTTTTTCTTTGTTTTTTGATTTTGAGAGGCAGGATTTTGATACCCGGTAATTAGCACTTATATCACATGTTACTGTATATGAGCTCATGACACTGTACTTTGAAACTGTATGCAATATAACCACACAAACTGAAATTTAAATACAATGAAAAGACATCAGGATGGGTATACCAAAAGTATCATTATAGAGTGAATAGAGAGTGAAATCTCTTTTGGAAGATATCTGGGATAAAGATATATCTATTAAAAATAGTTATTTTAATTATTATACCCCCACTCCGAAGGAGAGGGGGGTATACTGTTTTACCCTTGTGTGTCTGTCTGTCTGTGTGTCTCTCTGTCCATAACAAATATTTCGTCACAGTTTTCTCAGCAACAACTCATCGCAGATGCTTGAAATTTTAGCACACACTTTATTGAGGTATGCCATATGGTGGGATTCATTTTTGTACGAATCCGATGTCAACTTCCTGTTTATCCGTGTGTCTGTCCGTACCATACATAACAAATTTTGGTCGCAATTTTCTCAGCAACTACTGAATGCAGATGCTTGAAATTTTAGCACACTCTTTGTTTAGGCATGTCATATGTTGGGATTCATTTTTGTACAAATCTGATGTCAACTTCCTGTTTATCTGTGTGTCTGTCCGTACCATACATAACAAATTTTGGTCGCAATTTTCTCAGCAACTACTGATTGCAGATGCTTGAAATTTTAGCACATTCTTTGTTTAGGCATGTCATATGGTGGGATTCATTTTTGTACGAATCCGATGTCAACTTCTTGTTCATCCTTGTGTCTGTCCATAACTGAACTTGTGTATATTCACATCAGAATGTATATTCACATCAAAGCGGGGGTATTACTAGTGAACATTGGCTCACAGACTTCTTGTTAATTTCAATTTTATAATTCACTTTAGCTTAGAAGGGTGGAGAATCATATATCTATTGTCAGATTTTATATGATAAATGCTATTCTGTATGGGTCTTACTATTTGTGGATTTTTTTTCTTTGCTGTATAAGGGCTATTTTGAAATTAATGAGACATTTACTTTTACTCCATAAAAGAAAGACATAAATTCATGAAAATTTGTCAACATTTTAACAAGAACAAATAAAACAGCTATGCAAAATTTCTAATTGATAGGATAATTAGACATGTCCCATTGGAATTATAAACTTGCATATGTCTATTGACCTAAAGCATCATTGCTTCTTCATTTTCATCTCATGCCAGCCATAGATCTTTACCATGTTGAGACAGTCTGGAAGCTTTAATGCTTCTTTCTCTGTCATCACAGAAACTACTCAACTGATTGAGATGAAACCTTTTTAGGGTTAACAGGCATGTTGTGTAGATGTGCAGAAGGAAGGTCATTTTACCCACACTTACATGCACATGCGTGCGCGTGCAAGGAGTGAAATGACTGAAGCAATTAAAACACCATTAACCTTCCTGTTTTTTTTTTATGATATGCTTTGAACTTCATTGTATAAACTTATATTAGTGGTGTAGACAAGAAGAGGTGGTTGAATTAGCAAGAAAGCATGTGCATGCATGTGTGCTTTGCTCTGTTTGACTGACACAAAAAATCTCAATAACCTTTTTTTTTTTTTGATGAAATGCTTTGAAATTTAAAACATAGTCATACACAACAAGGCTCTACATTTTGATATAATATATGAGATATTGTGAAAACACGCTCATGCAAGTGTGCTGCAATTTGATTGGCTTAAACTTTAAATGGCTGTTACAGTAGTAACTTTCTTAGTTTTTAACAAAACTGGATGGAATTTACAATATAGATAGGTGTAATGGGTTCCTACATTGTGCTACTCTGAAAATTGAATGCAAGAATGTGGATTCTGATTTGCTAATACTTATATGGCTGTATCTCTCATAGTTTTCAATGAAAATCTTTAGATTTCTTACATAGCTATTTATTGTGAGTCTCTTCACGAGGAAGGAATATGAAATATTTAGAAAATATGGGCATGTGCATGCACTAGAGGTGTAACGATACAGCAATACATCGATCGTATTGATCGCAAGGGCTGACGATACGCGTATCGCCATGTATGTATTGTGATACAGTAGAAGATAATTTTCATTGTTTTGTTTGTAACTTCTACATTCAACCTAACAAATTTTAATGTTTTAAAATGGCTGAAAAAAGGTAGCAAAGAAAAAATACATTATCAAGACTATAAATCCACCTTTTATTAACTTTGATAAGGGTTATCAAGATATTCTTTGTATATTTTCTATAACTGTGGGGTTAGCAAAGAATTATATGTTAAGATAAAGCTTAATTCAATTGGTGACAGCTGTATCATGGTACATGTTGTATATCACATGACCGTATCATGATATGTATCATATTGTTAGGTAGTTTGCGATACTCAGGCCTAGCATGCGCTGAAATCCAATTGGCTAATACTCGAAGAACTATACCAGTGTTGTTTTTCGAATAAATACTACTGAAAATAAAGTATAGATTTATTAAACAAAAGAATTGCATAATTAAATGAAGCCTGTAATGAATGGGGCCCATAAGAGAATGGGGAAGTGTTTGGGGAACATCTGAAACAGTTCTCGTTACAGTTAGCACTAGTTGTTATTGTTTTAGCAGATCTTTTAGTCTGGAAAAGAGTTCTCCACAGAGCTACGTAAAATTCTATAGGTATGCTTGCTGTGTCGCGTTGACGTCAAAATCTATTTTATTGATGTAATCAGATATCTATACCAAGCTTAGATTTTTTTATGATCTCTGTATTTCTGATTGAAATTCTAAGAAGCTTGCACAAAATGAATTGAAATGAAATTGAAAAAATAAATACCGATGTATAATTTGAATTATTTTCGCTCTTGCTGTATATGGGTCCACTGGGAGTTTGAACATAGGTATAACATATTTCAATATATGATTTCGTGATGGCACCGGGCACCCTTCTATTTACCCATTAATATACCATTGAAAAGAAGAAATAAAATATTTGTAAAATATTTGTTGCTTTTATTAATTCTTAGTGTTTGTCAAACATATATGCCATTTTTCACCAAAAGGCATTACTTGGAAAGAAAAATAAACACTATGTACTAATAATCTCTTAACAACCCTCATAATGCTTGTATCAAATAATATTTGACCACCCTTAGATTTTCTTTTAATCTTAAATAATGATGCTGTTCATCAGGCGACACATGTGTTCCTTGGAACACTCTTTTAATTTTAGCTAGCAAGATTATTTGGACTTAAAGTCAAGTTAATAATCTTCTAACAAACATTTTCTTCTGTCATGTTTAATTCATAGTCACTAGGCAACACTGAAATTTCCACTCATTGCTTTTCAGTCATTGACAGGAAAAGGAATTACCGGTAAGTTGACAGGACTTTACACACTGTTTCTGGTAGCAGCTTATGATTGAATTGATGGTAGAAGACATGGCCCACTTAATCAAAGGTAAATCTCATGGAATAGTGCTAGTAGTACTGATATTTTTTTTTACTCTGTTTTGCATTGAAGCTTTAGGTCAAAGGCAAATTTTCTTTGTGTGGATTCTTTTATTCTTCTCAGAAATGTGTGGCTGCTAATTGAGCCATAGCTGTCTGTTTTCTTTGAGAATCAAAGAATTGCAGCAAGTCTTTTAGGTTTTCAATGAAATTTCCTTGTTTTTCAGATAATCTGTATAGAGTGGCACCTTAACCACCACTGGTGAAATAGAAGATGACTAGTGGATGGTCATCACTTTGCAGCTCACTTTCACTTTCTGCAGCCCATCTCTTCTCATCCACAATCATTGTCTTTGGAGGAATGGTGACAGTGCAGTCCTCATGGCTGGGCAGGTAACTTCCTTTCCTTTATTTCTCAGCTTTCACCTTTCTTACAAAATTTATTTCCATAGAACACTGCTACAATATTCTTCCTCTAAGAACACAGTATATGTCACTTGGGTAGCAGCTTAGAATTGGGTTTTCCCAATGGCACTGAAGGTGGCATTTTTATATTGAGCATCTCCTTCCACTCTGATACGTGTATCAGGAGTTCCCATTTTTCATTTAGATCCTGAATGTTCTGTCATATATTCATCATGCTGGTCTTCTACCCCCACAATAAAGGTTGGGGGAATATATAAGAATCACCTTGTCAGTCTATCGGTGCCAACTTGTTGGTCATTGGAAGCTCAAACTTGGTACAAAGAATGTTTATGACCTGTTGGTGTGTCAAGATCTTGACCCAAGGTCATTCCGGCTAGTTCAACAGGGTTTGACTCTAAGGCATGTTTGACCCAGTCTAGTAAATGAGTGGTCTAGTCGTGTAAAAGACCAATTGTTCGTATTGATAAAATAACTGTTGAACCCCCATTTCAGTCCTTCAAATAAATAATCTGAAAACTTTTAAAGAAAGGACAAGGTATGGTAACGACCGAATCTGGCCCCTTATTTGATGTAAAAATCAGAACACAGTTAAAATTGTGATAGTTTGTAGGTAAGAATTAAAAATAATGCTTGTTTTAAAACCAGCACTAATTTTGATTCAAAGCTTACACGGAGGCCACAAGAGGGTGTAGAAGTAGGTTATTTTCCAGAATTTCCTCAATTCTGGTCGCATTTCGTCAAATTTGAGATACTTTTCACTTTGGGAAATATAGAGCACAAGGCTGCCTATCTGAGATTTTTATACATAAGATGCATCTGATACTATTGTATGAAATATACAAATTTGGTAGATAGGCAAGCTTGTGCTCTATGTTTTCTGAACCAAAATGTGCTGTAAAACCAATGAAAATTTGCATAAAATGAGAAAATTCGGAAACTGGCATATTTCCTGACCTTCCTGTGGCCTCTGTGTATCCCATAACTTAGAAACAATACTCAATTTATGGCAGGGGTGACAACAGGTTTTTAACTGAAAAACTGTTGCAACATTCTAAAAGACCCCTCAAACCAGGGGCCAAAAAGGGATCTTAGCCTATCTTATCCTTTCTTATATGTTAGATTGTAAACAGTCATTGCTCTGTAAAGAAAAAAATCCCCACATGACCCAATCACTATTTTTAGCCACAGCTGTTATTAACAAGTCAAGGGCCAAACTACTTTTTTCAGTACAATGTTTCAAAATGATGTAAATAGTTATGTTTAGTATAGTTTTAAACTAATTTATTAATATTAACGATAATTATTTTATGAAAGTTTGTTGAATCTTTAAGCCTTATATTGCTCAAATGTCCTGATGAACCCGACTTGATTGGCGGGATCCCATCAAACAGTCTGTCTAAATTCAAGGTCACTGACAGAAATGATATAAACTTCTTGTCCAGGATATCAGTTTGCAGTGGTGAATCATTGATGCTCATTCTTGGTACAAAGATTATTGAAGACCTGAGAGTGTGTCATGACCTTGGCCCATGGCAATTCTGGCAAGTTCAAGGTCACTGGCTTAAAAGGTATAAAACACTTGTGTAGGCTGTAACTTTGTAATGGAGAATCATTGGAAGCTCTTACTTGCTACAAAGATTGTTTATGACCTGGAAGTTTGTCTTGACCTTGACCAAGGTCATTCTGGCAAGTTCAAGGTCACTGGCAGATAAGAGATAACATTCTTGTCCAGTCAATAACTTTGTAACTGAGCTTTAATTTGCTACAAAATTTTTTTCGGACCTGAGGGTCATTATGACAAGTTCAAGATCTCTGGCAGAAAAAATGTAAGTCTATTATTTTGTATTAATGGAGAAAAATTTGATGTCCATATTTCACTCTTAGATTAATCATGTCCAAAGATCTGTCCTTTTTTTACCAAAGTCGTTTTGGTAAGTTCAAGGTCACATTTACACATTCTAAATAAAAGAATTGCAGCAGGGTTATAACCTTATTATTAGCTGACATAAGTGATGTAATAATTTTTCTCACTTTGTTTCAGGTCTACTGCATGTTGACAGCTGATACTTGTTCTCTGTTTACTCCGAGAGGCCTACTACACATTGTACCTCAGTTATGACTGTACTCGTGCTGGCTTCTATGATGTTAATTTCCTTTACCTGCACTGCGTTAAACTTGGTCAATTCTGTTACTGTCGAACACCAACAGATGAAAATAAGATTTAGCTGATCCTGCCAACATTGTGACATAAGCAGTCCAATATCTCACTCTGCAGTCAAACCTCATTTTTTTTTATGAACGCTCAGTAAAACATTTGAAATTTTAGACTTTTTTAGTATTGATTTATATAGTTACATATTTTTAAAGTAATAACAATTCTTTTTATTGATGTATGTTTAAGTATGCAAAAATGAACATTGATGATATTAAAGGTGAGGTATATATTTGTGATTTCTCTTCTGAATAAAATTTTATATCAATAATTTATGCTCTTGTTTATACAAACTGCAAATGAGGCTTTCTATTCATTAAAAACTGGACCCATAATTACTTCCTTAAGGAGGAATGCCACACCAAAATTTAATTCCATTGGTCTTAAGACATCCATGTTGAGGAAGCTCTAAACACTAATGAAAAATGCTTTTTGGGCTTTGAGAAAAATATATCATATGAAGGTGCACATATTCAGTGTATCAAGTTCATTTTCAACATAAGGTACCTGCCTTATTTCTGCAGAAAAAATGTTCAAAGACAATGAACTATTTGTGAACGGAAATCACTGTTTTTTACTTGCATCAGGAAAATTAATGGAAATAATGTATTCAATTACTTAATCTTGGTCTAACATAACATTAAGAATACTTTAATTCATAAGAAATTGTGTCATTAACTGTAGATTCCCATTTATACTATTTTTCTTCTAAGGGCAAATCACCCAATAAAACTACCCTACAAACAGAACTCTTTAGTGTGCAGTGTTTAGAGCTTCCTTAAGTCATGGTTTCAGCATTGAAAGGAATAGCTCTTAATTATTTTATAAGAATTTTCTCCAATTTTTCATAGAAAATGAAAAAAAATGTTTTATTTGCAAATAAGATGCTTTATAGTTAAAAATTTGATGTTAATGAATGCATAATATAAATATCTCGTAAAATATGTGAAGAAAAGCCAGATAGACATTTTAATTTTTTTACTAAAAATTTTTTTTCGAAAAAGTACATTATTTGTGAATATTTTCAAAACATATGGATAATATATTCAAAAAACAAGTCACAGCTACAAAGGATATGTTAGACAATCATATTTGAAAAAGAAATTGAAACGAAATTGTGAAATTTTAGAGATATTATTTTTTACAAATTTTAGCCGATCCCGATCGAAATTAAACTGATCCCAACCAGAATTTTATAATAATTGATAATAGATAATATTTTCAGAAGAAATACAAGTTTGTTAAGGTGTAATACGCGTTAAAAAGTAATTGAACTTGATAAATAAATAAATTTCTTAGCGGTAAATACTAAAAGAAGGCAATAATTTCATCTTATTTATTTTGTGTTAATTTTGATCGGGATTGGTCTAAATATTGAAAAAAATAGTTTCCCTAAAATTTTGCAATTTCATTTCAATTTCTTTTTAAAATATGTTTGACTAACATGTTCTTCATAGTTCTGACTAGTTTTATGAAGATTGTATCCATAGGCTTAAAAAATATTCACAAATAATGTTTTTTATTTTTATAAATAAATTTTTTACTTAAAAAATTTAATTGTCTATCCAGGTTTTCTTTAGATATTTTATTACACATTCATATTATGTATTCATTGACAGCAAATGCTTAAATTTGTTGTTTATATCAAAAATATTTGTAAGAAAAAGCTTTCCAACAACTACATGTGTAAAAGTTTTTGGTTAGCAAAGATGCATTTCATGCGAGAGGCGCACCAGTCATTGTCGGATTATTTTTTTTTTTTTAATATTCACTGGTATTAAGCCGATATCTATACCAGTAGGTACGCATATCCCAAGACGACGTCGAGCTTGACAGGTTCATGAGTTTACACCGTTTGATTTTGTTATTTTTGTCATATTTCATTAAATGAATCAAAGTGAATTGTAGATATATTGAGTCTTAACAATTAGCTAGCGACAAGCAGAGTTGAATAAAACCGCCAAATAAATTATATATCTCGTATGAAGGTGATAAGCGTACCTTGATGTTTTGGACATAAAAACCATGTTTAAAAGATATCGGTACCTGCTAGTTTTATTTTTTTCTAATTCTTTGCATTTTAACAATTTGCGCATAAATGTATCTGTCAAATATTTCACAGGAACGTAGCATCGTTTTTGAAAAAAAGGGGGGTTGGGGCAGCAAGAGAAAAAAACTCAACATACTCGAAAATCCTATTTCGTGGGAGGTGTAAGGGGTGAGGGTAGGTGTTCCATCTTTCAGTACCAAATTTTATTAATACATTACCCTGAATTGACTGTACTGCAACAAAAAAGGGGGAGCTGCCCTTTCAATGAATGAAATATATGTAGATAACGAACGGTATTCAAGCTCAAATGTCCATTAAACAATACAAATCGGGAGCAGAGCAAACACGGACCTCTAAAATGTCAGAGGTGAGATCAGATGCCATGGAGGAGCGAGCATCCCCTGCCGACCGGTCATACCCGCCGTGTCCTCCTTGTCATGATCGTGAAATACGGAAAAATCCGTCGACAATGAACCTTTTCAATCGTGAAAAGTAAAGTTTGTAGTTTCAAGTCTGTAACAATGTTTTTTAAGGTGGGGAGGGGTTGAGCCACAGGAAAACATTCAGGATTTTTTTTAAATGTTAAAAAAGCAAAATGTTTACAAGCAATAAAGGGAAATAGGCTGTTGACTATTTTACAAAACTTAAATTCTTAAAACTGAGAAAGGAGGTCTCATTTTCTTTTCTGCACGAAATATATTCTGTACAATACGGTGCAAGCGGTTCAACGCTACCACAGAAAAGTGTGGAAAGTGTGTGTTTGGGGGGGGGGGGGTCTCAGATTAAATAATACCATGCATACAGGTGTATCTGCAAAAGACGGATGAATCCAAATCCATATCTTATGTAGAGAAAGAATACATATACTTTTACATGTACCGGTAAATACAATGTATAAAAATGTTTGTTTGTTTGTTTGCTTAGTTGTTTAACGTCCCTTCGAGAATGTTTCAATCATATTGAGACGCCAACACTTGCTGGTGGGGGGCTGCAAATTTAGACCTGTACTCGACACTTGCGGCTTTTGAGCAGAGAGAGATCTTTTTCGTGCCAGCATCTACTGCGATAAGGGACTTCGGTTTATACGGTCTTATCCTAAGGACCGGTCTCCACCTTATACAGTACGGAAATAATCCATACATTGTAAAAACAGTTTAGAAATGAGGCAAAAATAATACTTATATACATTTTTGTATGCTACGAAGAGATGCAAAAACAGAAATATTCGAGGAGCCGTAACATATTTGGAGATTCGACCGTACATTATTTCGCCTATCACAATATCGAAGTGTATGCTTAAATCTTTGATAAAGTCCCAATATTTAATTACATTGTGACCCATATTCTTTTTCTTGAAATGTTGGGTTTTCTTTGGTGATTATTCAGATTTTGAGCGTTTGAATCATTTCCTTTGATTTAATGTATTGTATAAAGGTATATGTTGCAAATTTCTCTCTGCTTTATAGGTTTAAAGACTATAATTATGTATATATCTTCAAATCATTTTAATTCACTAACAGATTGAAGGGATATATAAGTATATCTATAGATGTAAACTCTCGAAGCTGTGGAGCTTTTCGACATCTGAGGATACATGTATGCGTACCTACTGGCACGGATATCGGCTTAAGGACATACGCAACGTAGTTTGAACTTTATTGTCTTTTTTCTTGGAGTTGAAGAGTTCCAATACTTAAAGGAACTGTGAGCTACATTTTAATGTCTATATATGCTATTGTACACTTCTTCTAAAACAAGTTTGGATAAACAAAACATCTAGAATATATGTTTAGTAATTTTTGTATATTTTTCTCTGAATTATACAAGAATTTTCATCAATTGATATCTTTTCAAAACCCCTAGTAATGCATGCTGATTTTTTGTCTACGAACATCTGATAGCACTATAATCTTAAATTAAGAATATCTCGAAAAATTATCAGTAGGTAAGGTACGTTGCGTATGTCCTTAATACCGGTCACTGGAGGAGAGATTTTTTATACATGTATTTTCAAGAACAGATTCTTTATTTCCAAAATCTGCCAGCGTCCCCCTCTTAATTACCCCCCCCCCCCCAATAGAATGAAAATTGTCGTGCCCTAAAAGATATTGATGATTTCTTTAAAAGAATAGATTGGATAGAAGTTTCTAATCTGAATTAAATTCAAACTATTCGGAAATTGAAATTATTATTTGTCTTCTGCATCAAGCGTATGAGAAAAGCAAATTTGGATTGAAAATTAACTTCAAGCTAGAATTTCAATCAATTTTTCTCACACGTCCGACACGAATTCGCTTTCTATCACCAAATCATATGCGGCTTTTCCCCAACCAACTCAGAACCAGCAGCATACTTTGTACATATCTTAGGACTATCTTAAGATACGTCTTTGGATGTAAAACAAAAGCATCTTAGGAATATCTTTAGTTAAGATGTCGTAATTGGGGAGGGGGGGCGTGGTCATGGGATCCGGTCCCCTTGGGATTTTTAGAGTTGTTGAAATGATATTAATAGTAAACCCAATTCCTCTAGAAAACACGGACCCCTGTTACAATGGCATAGAAAGTCACATATATTTATACATCTTCTGTATATCTATAAAGGCAAAGCGATTTAACACCCCTTCCCCCTCCAAAACGAAATAGCTATATAAGGTATGGATAAGTTTATGGTTTTTTTATCCTTGCTTGACAATAATGTCTGAGTCTTCTTTTTTTTTTTTTTTGAGTGCGCGGCTCTGTACCCTCCTTCCCCCTCCGGAAAATGCCTGTATCCGCGGTTGATATGTATTGGTAATAATAAAATGTTTCAGAAATTTTATAAATAATCGCTATTCCTCGATTTTCATTTCAAATTTTTTATCAGGTTTGTCCATTCTTATCCCGTTTTCATGTTTTGAGCTGTAATTAGATATAATAGAGAAATAAAATAAAAAAAAAAACAGAAAAGAAAATCTATATGTAATTTTTCAAAAAAATATTTATATTAATGGATAAGTCAATTTGAA